CCCCAAAACCCCAAAACCCCTTTAGTTATAGCTATACTTCTATGTAAATAAAATAATACCTACAGATAAACGTAATTTCGAAATATATAAATTCAAAATGATAGATGGAATATGCATTTTACACACTGAATCATCTTACATGTTTCATTACTTCTACAATCCATAATACAATGACAAGGACATTACTAAGAGGTTAAACATCATCTAGCTTAAGATTAACAAGCAATAAAGTCTGAAGAAGAAAATTGAACTGGATCAGAGCACTTAGCTTCAAAACTTGAAGTTTCTGAACTCAAAGTTGCTAGAGTATGCAATGCCAATTATTTAAATACACATTATAGACTAAATGAGTATAAAAGAATCAAGAAGTAAGAGAAGTAGTAATAGCTAATGCAGGATGATGAAGATGAGGAGGAAGAGTAATATATATAGAATGCTAGAGGTGATGCTGAATACAAGGATAAAGGTAGCAAAGACTTAGAAAAAGTTGCAAGGGAGGGAGTGATCTACTTAAGAGATAAGGATATTAGGCAGTATTTTGGGGAAAAAGATAGATTGATTATTTGGAGGGAATTTAGGAAAGTGATAGTAGCCATAATAGCCGAGACAGAGGATTTAAACTTTGCTAATGTTTCAGTATTCACCACGTTTTTATTGAAGGAGGTGATTAACTTAAAGAATTAAGAGATTGAGAAGAAAAGAAATAAGCAAAAGTCTAAAAATATATTTGCTTTTGATTCAGAGGAAGATGATGATTAGCATAATAATTAATAGAGTGAGCAGCGAGATAAAAAGTAGAGTAAGAGTGGGCTTCCAAATGAAGAGAAATTACTAGATTTGCTTTAGAAAGTAGCTCTGTAAGAGTATAGCTCAGGGTTGTTACCATTTTATACCATTGACTATTTCAAATTTAGATGCTATAAATAAACTGATTATTGATTGTTATTTTACCAAATAATTATAGATTTTTAAATTCAATCAACGGGGTTTTGGGGTTTTGGGGTTTTGGGG